TCGAGGAAAAAGTTTTGCCGTACACGCTCTTATCAAACATACTGTACATTTCTTATTCTTAGTCATTTAACATTTCAATTCTCACAAGGGATCTGACGGAACTGTCCCTCACCGATTTTGATGTACTTTGAATATGTTGTAGAGCATCAAAAAGTAAGAAAATAAGATAGACCTTAAAAAAATTATTGGAAGTGTTATACGTTCTGTAGACTATACATACCTTCGCGTGGAATGAATCCTGGAAAGTAAATCACTCACATGTTAGATAGAGGAACACCTGGGCGAATAATATCTTAACAACGGTAAATCAGATGTGTCATCAGATGTATCATCATTCCTTATCACTTAGCTTCCTTCAAAGTTTAATCAGAACATTGAAAAACCTCCAGTTCCAGAATTTTCTCCTCGATTTCAAGGTATCTCTATCTCCACCTCAATCACATCATTACAGTGAAGCTGCTCCTTCTTTCCTGACTCTATACGACGCGGACACTCTTCTAATTTACATACAATCGATAAATTTCTTTTGCGCGGTTAAAAAAAAACCAAGGAAAAAAGTAAAAGTGCTCCGTAAATTCGCCACTAATTAGCCCAAAGCCCGTTCGGAGCACAACTATTAAAGATCGATCGTCTCGTCATCTATCCTCAAAAATAAGTCGCCTCCTCTCCTATTTTTTATTATTTATTTTTCTTTTTATCCATTTTTCGAGTATTCCATTCGGCTATTTAGTCTTTTCTTATCACGATAATTTAGCGAGTCTGATATTTATTACTGAATTTTATATATTTTTCCCCTACTATCGTAATAAACAAAAAGAAAAAACGTAATAAAAATTATTATTACGTTTTCATTTATTGATTTGTTTTACATTGACTGATATCTCTGATATCAAGAGAGAGAGGAAAAGAAAATCAAAACTAACTCAAGAAGACATAATGTTAATTATAAAATATGTTTTATTTTGTGTATAATCACACATGGAGACAAATATATAATTTTAATTTTTTTTAGAATAATGTTATTTAATCATACTGGAATGTCATACTGTTCCTGTATGCAATATTATCTGCTCTCAACCTTCCACGATGTCCGATAACTTCGGAAGAAGTGAAAGTAAATGAGAAGATTGAATATATACTTTAAGAAATAGGAGATGAAAACAAATTTCAACTAGAAGAGGAGCAAACACTAGATTTTTATGATTCAAATGAGGTTCCAGAGGCAGAAACAGTTGATCTGTTGGAGCATGATGAAAGTGAGAATTATTTTCCAGAAGAAGTTATTTGTACTTCTGTTGATGCAGCAATCTCAAGCGACTATAAAAGGCAAGCTGTGAAAAACTGGAGAAGTGATAAAACAGGATCAGGATCGTTGGAATCGGTTAAACAAAGATATAAAAGAGTAACATCACTACGACAATTACGACGATGGGAGAAGTACATCAATACAAGTAGTATCAGAAGAGAAAAATTGCAAAGATTTTCTGGTTATACATTAAACTATTTCAATGAAGCGTTCTAAAGAGAAATAATTTTGCCTGTATAGTTCCTAAAAAAATTATAGGAAGTTATGTTCTGCAGACTACACGTACACTCGCGTGGAATGCATCCTACAAAATAAATCACATACATGCTACATAGAAGGACACTTGGATTCATAATATCTTAACAATGTTACATCAGATATGGCATCATTTCTTATAACGTAGCTTCCTTCGAAGTTTAGCCAGAACATTAAAGAACCTCCAATTCTGGAATTTTCTCCTCGATTTCAAGATATCCCTACTTCCATGTCAACCATATTGACACATATAAAAATGTCAGGATATCTGTAAACATTTAAATTCGAAAAAATACTTAAAGATTTTAGTTCGCCCAAATGTTACCTGCAGCATTGTTCTGACTAAAACCATTTGTGCTATTGTGACCTGTTGCAACTATTTTCAGGAAAAGGCTCGGGACGCATCAACTTAATATATCATAAAGAAATTTTGAAACTTTCCTAAAAATTTTTGTAATTTTAATGCCTGCAGAAATACGTATGCTATTTATATGTAAACGTTTAAATAGAATTTCTATCGAGAGAAAAATTTAACAAAAATTTAAGTAAAATGAATTTAAGTAAAATGAAATATATGCACTGAGATTCATTTCGTCTTATTTTTTTCAAACATGCTTTACTAACCTATTTAAATTCTTTTCTTATTTATTTGTTCCATATCCGATTCGCAGTTAATATAAAATTCTGTAGAATTAGATGAAAATATGTGCACTAATAAAAAAGGAGGGAGAGGGCCAGTATCCGTTCGATTCGACAGATAAATATAAATAGACTTTTATATTATATTAACTGTCGTGCTTACATCGCGCTTCATCATACCTCCATCGTGCCTGCATCGCGCTTTATCGTACTCCATCAAAACTCCGTCATGCCTCCATCGCGCACCATCATGCCTCCATCGTGCTTCCATCGCGCTCCATTGCGCCTCCATAGGGCTCCATCGTAGTTCCATCATGCCTCCACCGCGTTCCATCGTGCCTCCATCGCGTCTATCATGCTTCCATCGTACCTGTATCGCGCTCCATCGCGCCTCCATGCGTGCGTTCGAAAATTCTATTCGGGTGCACTCGCTGCATTGGAGTGAGATAAAGAGAGAGGAAGAGCACCCGGGTAAAGTTTTCGAACGCGCTTTATAGGGTTCCATCGAGTTGAAACTTGAAGCTAATGTTTGGAACGAACGAAAAGATAATCATACATTCAGTGTTTGAAATGTTACTTTTAAAAAGTAACTTTTAATCGAGCACGTTATATGTTTTAAAAATAATCCATTATCGTTAATTAAGAAATAACGATTCGTTACCATTTCCGTTATTTCTTCTATTATTGTGAAGATTTTCTTTCAGAATTTGCTGCAAAGTAATGATAAACGTAAAGTCTACATTTGATATCTAATCATTATCTAAAAAATGTGATTATATATTATTAATAAATTACTTTCTTTACAATACGAATTTATGGCAAATGGACATCTCCAAATGTCTTCAAGTTAGAAAACTCTGCCTTTTCAAAAAACACACTACTCATTCATGATGAAAAAATTTTTATGGTCGTCTTGGAAGCAAGAAAGAAAGAAAGAAA